GGTCATCCCCATAGAATTTGCTGCATTGCAGTTCTTAAGCCCTACTACTCTGTAGTTAGTGTCACAACTTCAAACATTCCAGAGATCTTCTCAGCATGGCTATAGAATATTCACTCCCTCCCTAAAATAGAGACCAAGGAATATAGATGGAAAAGAACAACCCCAGACAGGAAGTGGGGGGAGGGGAGGATGAAGGAAGGTAACCCATTTACTCTCTGCTATTTACACATTATGCACCTGTATCCAGTTTTAAAGCAAAGATGTCCAAACTCTGCCCAGCCAAGCTTCATGCTGGGAACAAGAAAAGAATGTGAATGAAATGCACGCTCTCTATAAAACAGAGCAGACTGCAGCCAGTCTCTTCTTTCTACTATGGAAGTGTGGCCCACAGAGAGTTCCTGTCCATGTGCAGTGTTCCATCTTGAGCCAAGCAGTGTGTAAATCATCTTGTGCTGGTCTACCACATTAAAGAGGAGGAGAGCTGCAGGCTGTTTCATATAATTCAGAGGGCTGCATTTGGCCCATGGACTACAACATAGGCACCCACTGGTGAAAGAAAAGCCATGAGAGAATGGAGAAAAGTGAAGTATGTGAGTTTGGGGGAAAAGGGAAACCTCTGGGAGAACATTCCTGCTACAGAACAGTGGCAGCACGTAATGCCTGTCACTAGGTGTCTGTGTGAGAAGTACCTCTGCCTCTCATTTTCTCTCCTGCACTGATTTTGACAAGACAGCGTGTGAATAACCCCATCTTGTTCTTTAAAGCTGTGGTCAGCGTCACATTGGTTTAAATATGGTGAAAAGGAGCTACGATGTGTTGTCACACAGTCACGTCTGAGCCTCTTGCAAACCGTTATTGCATTTCCCCCCTGATATACTGCCCGGGGTGCACCCCGTAAACTGCATGGAGGATCAATTTAAAGACAATTATGAGGAGTGGTGGGGACTGTGCTCTGGTATGTAAAGGGTCGATGGCAGAGAAATAAAAGCGGAGCCTTTTCTGAAAGGACACAAGCAGAGAAGTCAATGGAAAAAATCAATAGGAGAAGAAATGATTCCTTTAATCATCCTTAAACGATCCCCAAACCCAGCTAGAGGAATCTTTGCACTTATCACCCAGTCAATTCACCTGACAGATTGCCCTTGGTATCCAAAGTGAGCCCACAAGTATTAAAATCTTCTTTCAGGGTTTCCAATTTTGTTTGCTCTGAGATTCACATACGAGGCACTAATCCCAGGCCCTCTTTAAATGGGGCATTTTTACTCTATTGTTTTTTATTATCATTAATTCCTTTATCTACATGCTGGCAGGATGGAGAGTGACTTATGGCTTTTATGCTCCATGCCCCACAACAGAGGTTCTGAAAATAAAGCCAAAGGGAGTGGTATAAAAACTGACTACCAACTAAAAGACCCACCTGGTTGGGAAGGTTTCCCCCACCCCCACCCCCTCACGGCTACACTGAAAACGCAGTGTTGGTGGGACCAGCAAAAAAAAGCAAGCGAAGCAGCACCCTTCTTGGTGGCTCACTTGCTAGAGCTTGTGCCTTCAAGCCACCCAAGGGTCTCCGTTCAAGTCACAGCTGTTTGGTCCGCACAGGAGACAGACCCCACTATTGGGCTTTCCATTGGGCAGCACTGTTACAGTCAGTGGTCAAGATTTTCAAAAGTGAGTGGGGATTTGGGGCATCTCTGTGTTGAAGTGCTCAATCGGAGACACTTTCAAGGAGCTTGATTTTCAGAACATGCTGAGCACCCATTCTCTGAAAGTCAGGCCTCTTTAAGGTGTCTCAGGCTGGACACTGCACATCACAATATAGTTCAGAAAACATTGGCTACCACAAATATCTTCCTGTTGCAGGAGAACTGCAGGTCTTTTCATTTTATGATATACCCTGAGTGGCAAGGCTATCAGTCATACAATTACAGGGGGTCATTATAAATACAGGGAGTCAAATCATCCCTTTCTGCAGGAAAACCCACAAGAAGGGAAATGTTAAATTTAAGATAGGGTTACCATATCTAACAAATAAAAAAAGAGGACTCTCCATGGGCCCTGGCCCCGCCCATTTCCCCACCCCCCACCCACGCCCCAACTCTGCCCCTTCCCCGCCCTAACTCCGCCCCCTCCTCCCTCCCACTCCCAGCCACGCAGAAAGGGCTGCCCGAGCGCTACCGGCTTCACGA